AAGTCATAGATAATCAGGGAAAATACATTGTTGATTGAATCTGTAATTAAATGTAACATTTGGTCACTTGTTTTCTTTATTCAAAATTTGGACAGAACTTATGGGATGACCTGATATATACATATATAAAAACAAATCGAAATTCTTTTAAAAAAGTCGGGGTCTTCAGATTATAATATGCTTTAAAATATATGATTAGTAAATATAGTTTTACATAGTAACAATATTCCCTAAAGATTATCTCATCGAAATCGAACTTTAAAAGATTCAAAATCTTTATAAATTATTCAATTTTCAATTGTAAAATATGAAAACAAATCTTGCAAAAATTCATTTTTCATCGGAAATGCTTTTTCTTTAGACAATATTTTCTTTAATAAATATTATTCATAAAAGCAATTGAAAGCTCCTCTAATTATATAATATCTTGGTTGTATTGCGTTTTTTTTTCAATTCAGAATAGATTTTTGGTAAGACAAGGTCCAATTTTGCAAAATAAAATCGGTTAAATTCTTCAAAAAATTCTGCTTTTAACTAATATATTCACTACAAATTATCTCGATGAATTTCTGAAGCTTTCATAAAATTAAGTAAATTAAGTGGAGAAACATATGTAAAAAAATATTTTTACCAACATTTTCTAATAAAAAAATTTAAAAAATAATTTCATTCATTTGTGAATAAGTCCTGGGAATTTGAGTAAACACCGAGAATTATTTAATACTAGCAGTAGAGCCCGGCGTTGCCCGGGGATGCAACAGTAAGAGATAGATCAAGTATCGACCATCATAAAGACTGAAAATTAAATTGACAAAGATTATTGTTTAAGGTTGACGGACACGCATGTCTTAATTATTTTTTTTCTTTTACGAATTGGTCAAACCCAAACTCAAACAAAAACATTGTGATGAGTCTACCGATTGAATAGAATTTTATTATAAACAATTATCTAGTAAATGGAATTTTTAAAGCATTCTGAATGTAAAAATAAAGAAAAAAGTGTGCAAGACAATAAGAAACACTACCTGCCAAAAAAAAAAATGAGGTTTGTTGAAAAATGTAGGAAATCCGATCCCATATATAAACGTACACACACACACACACACACACACACACACACACACACAATCTGGATTTTATAATAAGATTTGCAAGAAATTTCAAATTAATGTCTGTCACCGCAAAAAAAGAAAAAGGTGAAAATTTGTTATGCTAAAAGTGAACACAAGCGCCGAAGCAAGAAAAACAATTATTTTTAAATTAAATTTTCGAATGTTCTAAAAAGGAGTAAAAAAATTTAATAAAATAATTAAAAAAATACTTTCCTCTTAATAATAAGAGAGATTTTGATTTGACGATAAAACTTTTTTTTCATTACGTTTGGAGCATGTTTTCATCATGGTCTGCTGATTTTTAGCGATCTCATGGAGGTAAATAATTAACTGGTAAATAACTAAGCTCAAATTATCACGTTTGTAAGCTGTATAGAAGAAAAGGGTGACATAACCCGAAAGTCAAAACAAACAAAAAAAATAAAATAAAACAATAAAAAAGTGGAAAAAAGAAAGAAAGAAAAACGCTTACTCGCCGAACGAGGTCAGCGAGTTTATACAAATTACCTTCTGCTAACCAGTCGTGGTTCAAGCTTCATTGAGTGGAATGGAGTACATAGAAAAATATGCTAATCGATTTATCGCTCTCTCCCTTTCCCTTTCTCTCTCTCTCTGTACGTTCACGCATCTGTAAGCCTGCGTTCGCCCGTCTGTAAGCGTAGGCGGGCTTTGTGAGCTTTTATTATCTCTATCTATAAAAGGCAGGATGTGTGTGTGTGTGTGCATGTGTGTGTGTGTGTGTAACGAATGCACGGCCGCAATTTTCGACGGATTTGCACCAAAATTTACATACACATGCTCCAAGTTAGCGGGAAGGCCAAGACCGACTTTGCATTTCCCAACTCCCATCGATAGTGGAAATAATCGATTTTTTCATGCTTCTACGGCAGTTTTCATGTAGTTTGCGACCATTTTCTACTGGCCAGAGTGAGAGCCTATAGCTGGCTGCCACGAATAGGTAGGAAGATTCTATTGGCCAGCGTGAAAGCCAACAGCTGATTGACACGAATATTAACTAGCATGCTAGCATGCAAAAAATCGATAGCTGCATTCGTCACAAGTGAGAAAAATTTAAATCTGCATGGCACTTTACTCCAATTCAACGTTGATTCTGATTCCGCAGAACTGGGTTGGGTGTGAAAAAGGATTTGCTGTTAACATTCTTTTTTCATTCGGTTTTTCCAGTTACGAGTCCTTTTTTAAAGCTGATCGTTTTGTGTTCATTTTGTAGCAACATCAGCACGGCAAAGGGCACTCCTTTAATGGCAAGGATGGGCAAAAATATTTTAAGTCAAGTGATAGCGATTGCTGTATGAGTCGTACGATTTTTGAATCAAGCACGGGTAACGCCGGGCCATGCTGCTAGTACAAGCTATTTCGGCATTTAAGATATGGCAGACACATTGTTTGACCTGAAACTGGAAACTGTTTCCTAAATTCGATGATTCAGCCATGAGCCCCACCTGTACTTGAATGGCTCGAAAAATCAGAGCTTGTTTGCAGAATGTGCGTTGTGGCACCTTGCATTATTAGAAATATTCATAGAAATATGATTTAATTTTTTCTTACTCGGTTTACTAAACAGGTTGTTGATTTTTTTTAAAACGGAAAATAATTGAGTTGAAAATAATTCACTAAGATTGTACTTGGACGATCCTAAGGGAAGAAGAAGGGGGAAAGAGAGAGGTCGAGAAATAAAAAAGCGGTCATTAACAAAAACACGAGTCAGAAAGATATCTTAGCTAGCATGTTGACCGAATTTTTTAAAGACAATTGAAGAATAGAATTAGAAATAATAAGAAGAAAGAAAGGAAAAAGACATGATATCAAAACGGGCCGCTTGATGGAAGCCAGATATCGGTCAAAGCACCTAGCCTACTTTTGCATGGAAAGACACCTTATCAATTTGATAAAGAGAAATTTTGGGAAACAATGAAACAATCTTAATCAGAGAAAAAGTGTCTTTTGGGTTGAGGGGAGGACCGGTGGAACGGTATACAGGCTCTGACCTGTTAAAAAAATTAGAACCCCACAATAATAAAGTGGAGACATTTTCAATGTAGATAATTAAGATTTTGACTATCAGGAAAAACAAAGAGGTAAAAAGAGGGACAATTGCTTTTGGCTCACAGAGGGCGCCAAGAAGGCGGAACAGATCCTTTCTGAAGTCAAGTCTAATTAGCGGCGGGCTGTTTGACAAAGTCCAGGGTGAGAGAAGGCCAAGATGGTCATTTTTCGTACGTGCGAAAAAAAAGGAAAAAATTAGATTTTGTTTTTTAGAACAAGAACGATATAAGCCCGCCCCGATTGATTGCAGGAAACGCCCAATCAGGATCTCATTAGCCGAAAACGGTCACGTGGCTGCAGAAAAGAAAAGAAAGAAATGCTCAACCAGAATCCCATTAGCCGAAAACGGTCACGTGGCTGCGGAAAAGAAAAGAAAGAAATGCTCGATCAGAATCTCATTAGTCGAAAGCGGTCACCTGACATACGAGAGACCGAGAGAGATGGATATGCGCCTCCCCACCAAAAAGCACTATGAGGAAGTAGGGTGAAAACAATAGCGATAATGAGAAATCAAAATAATGCGACTTTTGGAATTATCGAGAAAAACCCCTGACGCCGACAGACCCACCCCAGTTTGTTGCGGCGTCAATAAAAGCAGGACCCCAGTCGACAGAAATCAGTTGAGTTGTTTGAGAATGTAGGAGAGTTACCGCGGGCAAAAGAGCCTGAACGCGGGCATCGGGCCCGATTCACTGCCCCTTTGGGGCAAAAGAATCCTCAGACAAGAAAAAGCCCAAGTCGAAGACAGAAGAGTTCAGCCCCGGACGGCAGCGAAAGAGATCACCTCCACGACAGAAGAGTTCAGCCCCGACGGCACGAGAAGAGATCACCTCCACGACAGAGAGTTGCGGCTGAGTTGCGGCAAGAGATCCTTCCAGCCCAAGTCGAAGACAAGAGGACTTCCAGCCCTAAGTCGACGAAGAAGAAGAAATACAACCCAAGTCGAAGACAAGAGAACTTCCAGCCTAAGTCGACGAAGAAGAAGAAATACAACTCAGAAGTCGGAGAGAAGAATCAACTGCGAATGATCGATAGAAATTAGCCCCAGTGTCGAACAAACCACACTCCGACATACACAATTCTAAAGAGTAGGCAATTCGAAATCTTTAGGTTGTGTGGATAGAAATTAATGCCATAGTCCAGAGAAGCGGGTCGGGAAATGAGAACAATTTTGTTTTTATGTAGCGGACATTAAGATATAAAGGGTTGTTACCCATTTTTCATCAGCAATCTTTTGTCTCGTGAGTTTATTTTCTTTTATTTGTGTTTTGCCACCCCCGTCGGACTCAACTTGTATCGGCCCCAATCCCTGCTGGTCCTGTCTGTCTAAGATCTAAACACAGCGTGGGTAGACAGACCGGAGATCGGTACAGTTGCTTTTAGTGACCAGGTATTGGAAGCGAGTCGGGAAAGGCGAGGCTGGTGATCATCTGACCAAGGGGTTGGAGCGGCACGCTTGGACCCAGGAGGAGCGACCAGGAGGAGCGACGTCACCGTTGGCGCCGTAACCAAAGGATCCGACCCTGGGCCAGGTGTGTAACCGTCACACGTGATAAAAAGACTAAAACACATTCTTTCACTACCTTTGAGCGGTGGTGCCTCTGACGTGTCTCAACAGCTCCGTGAGGAAGCAAAGTTGGACATCACAGAAATAAAGGGAAAACAAACAAATTTCAACAGAAATGGCCTACGAACAGTTTATGGCTCGCTTTCTGGAGAGTTCGTCGATGCATATCTTGCAGATTTACGAAATCTTCCTTCTCTGTTTGGGAGAATTTCGCAGTAGGGTCTAACATGTTCTTTTACGGTGGGACTTCAGAACTATATGAAATAAGCACTGCGAGCGACTTTGAGAATGAATGAGAAAGATGTAAGGCCCATGCTGTTATAAAAGATGAAATCACAGTTGAAGAACCCATCACGCCAGCCACCATTCCAATTGAAACTGACGTTCCCTTCAGTAAGTGTTCTACCAACATCAGCTGCTATAGATTCTCCGGACATAATCATTATGCGAATGATTGCCAGTATCGACCCGCAGGGACGAGCGTTAGCCATCCACAAAAGGCCTATCAACAAGTATTGTGTTTTCGATGCCAAGGACTAGGTCATATTGCGGCGCAGTGTCAGGGAAATGGACAATAGGACAAGTTGTCATCGCCAGTTTCTTCCCCACAAAAGAAATAAGGCTCTCTCAGTGATAAAGTTGCTCTTAGATGGGAGACCATGTACGATACTGATGGATTCGGGCTGTTCCCGATTTTTCATGAATAATTCAAATTGTGTTACTTGGAGCAAAATGAGCATGAATGTACTGGAGGTCAAAGGAAAGTACCTTAAGAGTCAATGAATAGTTGTCCTGAATCCATTTAAATCCACTGTCCTAGTAGAGGACAGTAGATTTTTGGGATTCGACCCCATCCTGGGGATGGACATTATCAGGAATTTGGATGGAGTTCGAATAATCAGCTCAGGTATGGATGTATTCTCGCAACGGAAGTTGCCGATATGTGCACCCCTTAAAATCGATGAGACAGACTTTAGCGCTGAACTTGACAAAAACACAAATATCAGGACTGCAAGCTGGAAATAGACAAATGGTCATCCACCAGAGCAACGGAAATACGGTACCCGAGTATACTGTGTCCAAAGAAGTCAGAAGAATATGAACGATAGTTCCAGACATGTCTAGACAACGGATGGTTGTGACCGTATCCAGAAAAGGAACTAGCCCTCCCCAAGAGACCTAATCCCATTGATGGTAGTGGTGCAAATGAACAAGGGGAATGTGCGTCCAGTGTTGGACTGTCGTAAGCTGAACGAGTATGTTGTCGCGCACACAGGTGTGTACGCAGAAGTTAAGTGAGTGGCGACAAAGGGGGTCTAATGTTTCTATTCTTGACTTGCGGAAGGCTTACTTGTGAGTGTGCGTATACAAATCGCTATGACCATTCTAAACGGTGTTATTAAAAAAACTCAGGTATTTTTAACCCGAATGGTTTTTGGATTGAGCATAACGCCAGTAATAATAATAAAAAAAATCGTGGACGCCTCACATTCAGTGGAATGGATTGAAAAATATGCTAATCCATTTCTCTACTCCACAAATCGAAAACTTGAAAAGGGTCCACGAATCTGCTATAAAAGCAACTTACTTTTCCTGCCAAAAGAGAATTTGCGAAAAGGCTGTGCGTGCATGCATGCATGTGTACGTGTGAGTGTGTGCATGTGCATACGTGTCTGCACGCACGCCTGAAGATTTGGACTTTGTGAACTTTCATTATACATTGTTAATCATTATTATTATGTATCATTATGTAGTATTTTTTTTGCATTTTTATTAATATTAACATTATTTCTTCTTACAACTAATTTGTATTATTATTATTATTATTATTATTATTATTATTAAAAAAAATTCTTTTAAAATTTCTTCTTGAGCTTCATTACTTGCCGAGTGTCAACCAGGCAACTGGGGCAAGAAATGGGTAATGCTTCCATTCTTCAGTTACACATTCTGTAAACAATATATATATATATATATATATATATATATATTGGCAGAAACCTTTCTTTTAGACATATTTTCGTTAAGTATGACGGACAAGGACAATTTCATTAATTTTTATTTAGTTCTTCCAGCGTTATTTCCTCGTTTGGTGAGAACGAGCGAGTACAAAAGCTGTCCATACCGTTCATTGTCCCAAGCGCTTTCGGCCAATCCCTTAGGCATTTTCAAGGGGGTTTGTTTTGGTGTTGTTAGTTTCTTCATATTTTGACTGCTTGAGATATATTTTTGTGCTGTTTTTGAAATCTAGTAGGAACGTTTATTGCGAGCGTTCGTGTGTTGAGTGCTGCCGGAATTCCAGTAAGCGTCTTTCTATTTTTGTGCATATATATATATATATATATATATATATATATATATATATATATATATATATGTGTGTGTGTGTGTGTGTGTGTACAAAGTTATCAGCCATATCTTGCCAGTATCTATGAACACAGAACTCTCCACAATACATGGGCAAGTACAATCGATAGTATCTTTGGGATTTCTTGCAAAGAAGGTTTACCATGCATTGTGTTTAGAAATTTCTCAGTTCCTTCCTTCATCATTCCAAATTCTCCGATTATTACTGCGATATTTTCAATTAATTTGCAGGTCTTTAACTCAAATTTCTGAATTCATTGACAGAAATATTGTGATCCCATGGTACACTAAACATTTTTTATTGTTTTAAAAACTAGTGGGAATAACTACAAAACACTTACCCCTTCCGATTTTATAGGCAGAAGCACATGAATGCATGCTGGGATTTTTTTCTAGCCAATAAAATAGGCCAGTTCTCAGTTTCATCTGACTTAGTCCCGGTCTGTCTTGTCTTGAAAGTTAGGACGCTACGTTCCTTTGTCAGAACTTGCTTTTGTGTGTCAAATATTGTTTGTTTGCTTTACATTATTTTTCTTGCCTTGTTCTTCTTACTGTTTCTTGTTATTGCAAACTTTGCCAATTCTGTTTGTTAGGCAGTTCTGTTACTTATTTTGCATTTGACCATGGCTACATATTTCACAAACGACAATAACAATTCTAATAAAAGCCAAACATATGAAAGTGGATTTTAAATTTTTTCTTTATTCTTCATAACAAAGATATTAAAGATTATTTCTTAGATTGTTTATTTGCAAGAATAATTTTATATTTACAAGATTATAAAAATATGCGAACGAAATATAACGAAATATTTTATTATTTACCATTTTATAAAGAAATAAATATGAATATAATGTCTGTGAACAAGAAAATTTATATAAATCCATAACGAGGAACTGTAATTCTACATTATGAAAATATACATTTTCCAGCATTGCTTTCATTCTCCACATAAATTCACTAAAATAGGCTATGAACATTTCTTTTTCTGAATGAAATGTTTGTCATATGTTTATTCATTTTTTGTTTTTTACTTATTTATAAAATGGTAAATAATAAATATTGCATTGTAGCAGGTTTACATATTTGGTATTTTTTTAAAAATAAATTTTTGGATAAAAATGTTTAAAAAAAATTATTCTTTATAAAATGATAAAAAACAAATCGGAAACGTTTATTAATCTAACATGTTTCACATTTATTAAAGCTTCATCAGAGAATGAGATATGATAGGATAGGATAAAGAACAAATAGGAAATGTTTATCAATCTAACATGTTTCACTTTTATTAAAGCTTCATCAGAGAATGAGATACGAGATACGATATATATATATATTATAGGCATTTAAGAATATTTGTGGAGATGTCATAGTTTATTTTGTTCAGGTTAGGTTAGGTTTCAATTGTTTTATGCATATAACTTCAATAATTTTAAGTTTTTGTTTATTGCTTTCATGTTTAAGTATAGTTGTGTTTTCAACAAGGAAAACACAACTATACTTAAACATGAAATCAATAAACAAAAACTAAAAATTCTTGAAGCTATATACATAAAACAATTGAAACCTAACCTGAACAAAATAAACTATGACATCTCCACAAATATTGTTAAATGCCTATATTTGGTAACATACCAACGGCTTCCCATACTTAATACTTCTTGTTTTCACTCTCGCATGGTTATGTGTGACGTCATGAGCTGCGGTGCGATTTTCGCTTCCAGCGTCTTGTATGTAAACAGAAACAGACGATCATCATTGTTTTGTCCGTGTATTGCTTAATATATTGTAATGTAATTGTCATCTTTGATAATGGATTATGTAAGCCGAAAGCTCAGATAGGATTTAAAAATATGTATCAATATTGTGATTTTCTTTCTTCGTTTAATGATAGTTATTAAGCTTATCAGACGATATTAAAAGATTTTACATAAAATAAATAGACAAAACTTGTCTATATTATTTAATGAAACAAGCATCAATGAAAAAATGTTGCCTAAATACATACAATATATATATATATATATATATATATATATATATATATTCAAGAATATTACTTAATTTTTAGTGCTTTTAGAGGAATATCAGTGGTACATGAAATTTTGAGCATTTTTCAATTATATGACAAGTTTTAAACGATCCCTAACCCTATATAGAAGCCAGCTGTGAAAAATTGACCATGGGAACATTGAAGCTATTAGTATAGAATAATTAAAACTATGAGATTACTATGTATTATTAAAGTAAATATAATCTATGTAGTCGTTTAAGATCGCTCTACTCCTCACTTGCATTATATGTAGTCGTATAACTGAAAAATGTCGAATTTTTTCCACTTTGTCATTCAGTTAATCCAACTTCTAAGTGCATGTACCTCAATTTTAGAGTCTGTGTAGTGTTAAAACAACGTATTCAGTGTTGTTCTGCTTCGTACTATTAGGAACAGGGTAAATTTTGTGGTTTCAGACTTTGTTTATATATTTCTGTAAAACAGTTACGTTTCAGTGTTCAAACGGTGGTATAAAGATGATTTTCCTATTAACCATATTAGCATTTCATCCGACGATTTTATTGTTATGGTCCGGTTCCTTGTACCACGGTGATAGTCCAAGGTAGAACCAATAAAAAAAGAACTCGAACACGTATATGGAATAACACCGATATATTACAAACAGGAATATATACAGAGAAGTAGAAAGTGTTAGTACGAACAATCAGGTTTAGTAGTAATTGTCTGAACGCGACTCTGTTTTCGGACTGCCTCTGACTCGACTGACTCCTGACGGACCTCACTCCATACTTCAGGTTGAACTATCTGCTTCCTCTTGAGGCGCAGTATTTATTACGTATGGAATAGTCCATTATGTTATTATGGGTAAGGTCTCATAACATTTATAAAAACAAAATAATATTTATGAACTGTGGGAACCAAACAGGAAGTTAACGCTCCCGTGCCTAAAATCCATGTGACGAAAATGTGTCTGTGCGTACACACGCTTCCGGATAATAGAATATATTTCTTTCATCCAATCAGACAGCCTCCCGCCAAGATAAAAAAATTCTAAATCGGAGCCGATTTTATCCTGGGCTCAGGTATAAATAAAGACAGAGAACCGGTTTAAGAGAAGGATCAGTCATAGTTATTGCCTCAATTGCTCGGATTCTTTGGGCATCATGGAGATCAGAACTGATACAAAGCGTTTGTTATCGTTAGATTTTAGCGAAAGGTGGGCAAAAGTAGCGAGCTTGGTTCGAGTGAACGGGACCAGCCTTAATTTTCCTTTTTAAAGTCGTCTTTGACGCAACGGGGCGGTTTCTTGACGAACCCTCCCCTGGTTAAGATAGACTCTCCTGTTTACCTAGTTAATGTCAGTAAGTGTTGTTCCGGCATTATCTTTTGTTATGATCCATGTTGAAATTCACAACCTCTCCAGTTTGTTTTTGTTCCCCTTTTATATTTACTTGGTCAGTTTTTTTTTTTTATATTCACACTCCATCATTTATTTTTCCGTTCCCTATCCTCTAATGAGCGAGCTTCTTGATTCTACCTATCGGCAGAATACAGCGGCCGCTCTAATTTTTTCTGGGGTGGACATGCCTTACTAACATATTTTATTTTAGTTTGAATGTTTTGTCATATTTTAGTTTTGTTTTGTGGGTCCATTCCCTCCCCACTAAATCCATATCATTATATTTTTATATATGTTTCTAAAGGGGGAGGGGATATTTGGACAGTTGTAAATAATAACTTTTTGGTATCATGGTTCTTTTTGTAGGCTCCATGTGAACATGTGGTATTGTGCTATATGGTAGATTGAATGGTGATGAATCAGTTCTTGTAGTGAATGAGCAGTTGTAATGAATGAATGGGCCGTGAATCTGATTAGCTAGGTCTAGGATAGTTAATGTTGAGCAGCCTTACTCCACTTCTTCCTTTGTCCTTGTGCCATAATTGTTGTAAAATAGTCAATAATAAATCTACAGTCATAGTTATTTTCACCATGGTCCACGTTTGACAGTCTGTTGCTACCAAACCCACCCACACTCATACTCACACATAGAAGCTTGTCGTATCCCCACTGAACCCGGTGAGAAATAATATTTATATTTATCTATTTTTTACGTTAATATTTCATACAAAAACGGATTGATTCTCTCTCTCTTTCTCTCTCACTCTCTCTCTCTCTCTCTCTCTCTCACACACACACACACAGACACCTATATTACCAATTTTAACCATTATTACATAACTACACAATTCAGCTCCCACAATTTTTATGGACACTATTAAAAAAAACAAGCGATTCTATTCATTTAACTCTTTCAACCAACTTTTTGTTGTTGGTATATAGTCATATCACTTATTACCTACATCGTTTTATCTTTAATTTTATTTCTATGAGATTGTTCACTGGTACCAAATTTCGAACATGTCCGCCACAAATTACATGTTTACGTTACCCTATAAAATTTATTATTGTATTGTTGTTTTCCAATGAGGTAGTCTGCTTCATACTGAGTAAATATAAGAGGCATGTAGCCGTATATTTGTGCAAATTCGTTCAAACAATTGTCTCGTTTATCTTTGTGCTTAGGTTTGAAGGATAAACCGTCTTTTAGTTTAAATTTATTGGCAAAGAACTGTTTCCGTATAGTCTGCAATAAAAAAAAAATAATAAGTTAGATAGCGGAAAAAAAACAGATATATAGTGGTTAATTTGGAGTCATTTGTATATATAAAAAAAAAGAATGAGGTGACTGAATATTTTTTGTTTCTCTTTTCTCAAGTATTGTAGAAAAGACGAACTAATCCGAATGGTGTGTTGATGGAAAAGAAAGAAGATTCGTGGTGACAGTAACGATTTTGACACATTTTTTAATTTAATTATTTCACCCCAAGCAAGGCAATAAAGTCACTAAGACACAAGGGCTTACCGAGTGTGAGAGAATATGAGACAAAATGTTATGAAGGAGATAGAACAATAGGATAACAGAAATATAACGGTTGGCATTTAAATTCCAAGCCAACAGTTTGTTTTCTCGCACTTCTCGCTTGTGTAACTCCCTTTCGGCTCCATGATTTCTAGCCAACTTTAATCTGCGAAAGTTTAAATTCAATGTGAATCTTCATCTGCTGTCGTCCTGATTATTCTTCCTCTGTTCTCCCTCCTTTACAATATACCTGTTTCTATTTCTCCCACAAACAGTAAACCATTGTGCCTCTGTGGCTTTACTGCCTTGCTTTGATCGAACTTGATTAAAAAAAAGATATACACATAAATATGAAAAGAGACGCTAAATTTGACGGGATTATTGGACAGTGTGGATATAGTAAACACTACTGTAAAGTGATGATTGCACAAACAACAAAGAACATAGCAAGCATTGTTAAGAATTACCGTATTTCCCATACGCTAAGATGCATTTTTTCCTGAAAAATGCCCTCAAAAATCATCCTGTGTCTTCACACTGAAAGGTGAAAACCGAGAAAAAAGCAAAGACAAACCCCAGACATATAAGCCTACAATTGTCATTCAATTGTAATAAATTCCGTATATTCCATTAGTATCATGCCATATAGTGATTTTCTAAGCGCGACTTGGATGTGGCACAAGGCCGAAAGTATAGGGCACCTAGTGAAGATCGAACTCACTACTGAATCGTAATTGATCTAGCAAGACAAGCTTTGTAACAATGTCACCACGTTGAAGTGACTAGTATAATTCCATATATATTACGAGTAATGATGAAAACCAGTCGGCAGCTTCATATCAGTACTTTGTCTTTTGTTTATCTAGGCACACCGTACAATATCTTCACAGACCCCCACCCCAGCCACATAGTACAAACTGACAGTTATGTGTCATATGTACACCAAGAGCACCATCCCTGTTACTACTCTTTGCGTGCTATTCTTTAATTTTCTGTCTAACTGCATATTACATTGTAATATTAATTGCCGATCAAGTTATATTTAATTCAAATTAATTTTACTGCGCGGTAAACTGGCAAAATAACTACAAATCTTCAATAACAACTCCATTATATTTGTGTCAGAAAGAAAATTTACATCGTAGAGTCGACGACTTGTACTTACTTGCATATGCGGTAAGCTATTAAATCCGCAAACATTTAAAAAAAATACCTAGTTAAAGACAGGGTGTGTTTTATCACTTGTAACGTCTTAGCACACGGGAGAAACGAAAATTAACGTTATTTAAAATATATTTTTATCACCTAAATATTTTGAATAACTTACAAAAGCATTCTTATTCTTCAATGTGCGGTGTCCCTTTAGGACGATGGCTCTCCACAATTTCCTATCCTTTGTAGCTCTTAATAATATTTTTTTCGCCCCTAAACCCTGTTATGCCACCCATTTACTCACAATCGCCTGGTTATGCGCTGTTTTTTCTTATGCCTCTCTTGCCTTCAATCTGTCTTGTGAGAATCAAATTTTCCAAGCCCTCTTTTCTCATTATGTGATCTAAATTTCAACTATCAATTTTTGATAGTATAAGTGTAGTTTTTGTTTCTATTTTCTCTAAAACTTCGTCGTTGCTCACATGTTCCGTCTATGGTATTCTCATCATCCTTCTGTAGAACCACATCTCTGATGTTTCAAGTCTTTTTTTTCATTTCTAGCATTCACTGCCATATATGAGGACTGATATTGCATAATAGTTCAGTACTTTTTTCTTTGTTTCTAACCAAGTTTTCCTTTGCTTAGCTTTTGGAAGGCATCTTTCGCTATATGCTCCGTCTTCGGATTTCCGTGTCGCATTTTACGTCCTCTGTTAAAAACACTTCATTTTTTGTTGACATTCTGCCTTCTTGCAATTGATTGTTAGTCCTTTCTTCTCGTTTTCCTTCGCTATTTTCTGTAGGAGGTCTTGATCAACAATGTGTCATGTGCATATCTTATGTTGTTAAGATTGTGACTGCCAATAATGAATCCTTGTAGGACTTCTAATTCTCTCAGAATCGTTTCACTCTATAGATTGAATAAGTCCGATGAGAAGGCACATCCTTGTCTTACACTATTTTTCTATTTTTTGTACATTTACTGAATTCATTTTCTATCTGTATGCAGGCGGTTTTACTGCCAGGATGGGTTCTGGATCATTCTAAAATCATTCCCAAATATGTCGAAGTTACCTAGCAGTTCCGATGTACTTTTTCAAATGTGTTTTCATAATCTGTGTACAGATCCGTTTGCATTTGCATTGCTCGTTCTAATATTATTATGAGCATAAATATCTCATTTCTTGTTCCAATGTTTTTAACGAAAGAGCATTGTTCTTATCCAATTGTTGGTCTAATTCTGCTGTGCGCACTATTCAACAAAATTCGGATGATAAGTTATATTGTTCATTAGGTTAACTGTCCGATGGAGTTCACACTCGTTTGCACTTGGCTCCTTAGGCAGTGCTATGAGAATATATCTACTTAGGTCTTCCGGCATATCACCACTGTTGTATATTTCATTTATTATGTCTGTAATCTTGTCAATGTCGAAATCATCTAAGGCTGCTAGCATCTCTATTTCAACTGTCTGGTCCTGTTGCTTTGTTTCTGTTCAATTTGGTCATTGCCCATTTCACTTCAGTTTTGAATATTTCTCGTCCTTCGATATTTCTCTGTATTGCCGGTTGTCCTCTTTCGTCGTGATAGAGTTCGTTCCATCTCTGAAATATTTTTTTTCTTTCATATCAGTGTTCTGTCATTGGATTTTATGCATCTTATTGATTGTTAGTTCTCTTATTTAAACCTACTTTATCTGTGATACTTATACTTTCTATTTCTGCACATTTTCCGTTGAGGAATTCCTCTTTCGTCCGCCTGCATTTGTTTCTAATTTCTTTGTGCAGTGTCTTATATTCTGTGCCTTACCGTGGCATTGTTTTTTGTCTCCTTTTCATCATGACCAGAATTAAACCTATCATTCCTTTTTTTTTCTTTGTCTATTTTTCTTTGGGATGATCTAGTCTGCTGATGTTACTAAAGTTTCTTCTTAATGTATTTCACTTCGAGTTTCTATTCCCATTTTGTCCATTGTATATGTTTTTAACGCTGTTAATATATTTTCCTTCACATTTGGGTTATTCAGGAGTCTGTTGTATTGCAATTTCAGTGCTGTCTTGTCCCTCTTCAATTTCTGTAGTTTCACTCCCTAGTTTACAAGGTGGTCGTAGTCGGTATTTGGTTATGTTTTGCAATGTAAAACTGCATTCCTAAATCTCTTATTGACAGTTATAGAGTCTGCTGGTCTTTTCCATATCCATGTCTTTGGTGTTATTCAAACCAGGTATTGGCTCTTACCTGATGATACGTGGGGCACTGTTTGACCCATTTTTGCCCGCGTTCAAACCCAGTCCCTTGTCTAAATCTGTCAGTTATTTTATCATCTCTCTCCTTGCCTACATTGTTTCCCATGAAATTTTCACTTTCTTGTGATTTGCATTAGGCTTTGGTAGGAGGCACGTTGGAGTAATGGAGAGCCGAGTTCGAATTCCAGTCAAATCCATTATATTCACTTACGTGCTAATACCCTTGGGGAAGATATAAATCATCTTCTTATCCACCCAGCTATGGGTAAATAGCATGACAGACCGGGTTCTATAGCCTTGGATGGCAATTGATCTACAGCAGAAAGAAATGGCAACCTACTGCGGGGAAAAATCTGCCCCGTCAGTCATGTATCGAAAGATACATGATCGTCTAAGCGCGCATCACGCATTGCACATAACTGACTGATATTCTTATGCGCAAATACTCTTGGGAAAGGTATGAATCCTCTTCTTCTCCCCCCCCCCAGCGATGGGTAAATAGCAAGACAGACTGGGTTCTATAGCCTTGGATAGCAACTGGTTTACCGCAGAAAGAAAAGACAACTTACTGTAGCGAAACAAGCTCTGCCTCGTCAGTCATGTATCGAAAGATACATGATCGCCTAAGCGTGTATCATGCATGGCACATAACTGATTGTCTAGCGTGCAGTAACATTTTTCAATTTATTCTGTATTTTGTACGGTCGGTACATAAACAACTTTGGTGGACATGTTGAAAGGATTTCCCTTTCAGAATCTTTTCAGATAATTGATAGTATCCTACTCCGTTCTCATCTTCTCCCCGGTCTTTTGTTTGTCACAGACGAAATCTCCATTGCTTGCCCACATTGTTTCGCACACGCTTAACATATTAACATTCAACCTTTTAATTTCCTGCTTTATATTTTCTTAATGGCCACGTTGATTCAGTCGTTGAATGACGGTCCAGAGATACCTTTCGCTCATGTCTTTCCTTACCCGCCGAGAAACAAAGGGCTACTAGATGAGGAAGAACTAGAAAACAGAAACATTAATGAGGAGCGAGAACAATGGAAGAGTAATTAGGAAAACAGTAGATAGCGATTGACATTGCATTAGAATTTTTAGAGATTAAAGTTGTCTGGAAAGCATGGAGCCAGAAGGGAATTTCACAAGCGAGAAGTACGAGAAAAGAAACTCTTAGCACATAACTTGCAGTTACATCTAGACAATTCGACTGTAAATTGATGAGACCTCAACGCCAGTCTAGTAATGCGCTTAAATCTTAACTTAATTAAAGTGCTAAACAGGGTTATTATTATTTTTAAGAAAACATGTCGGTAACAAGTCACTGCCAAAAAAAAAAAAAACAAAAAGCAAAACAAAAAAACACTATTCTAAAATATATTATTATTATCACTACTATGATTATTATTATTATTTTTTTTTTTTAATTCAAAATAACTTGACTTTCTCTTGATAATAATGAAAGAGGGAATTCACTATTCAGTCTTCGATCAGAGCCAAAAGTTTCGTAACTGATAATGAGAAACTTGAATTTAAAAATGAAATTAGACTCTTATATTGATAAGTTTTCAATGTAAACTGGATAATTGTACAGTGAGCCCATTAAAGAGCGGAACATTCAGAAAGATGGGAAACAACCGTTGAAAACTCGTGACGACTGATGTGACTAAAAAAATTCAGGAAGAATTTCTGCACATTTCGTTAATCCTCACGTCGGATGTTCTTTGAAAATTACGATAAGTAGATAATGCGTCAAGTTATCACACTTTTCAAAGAGAGACATCCAACATGGGGATCAGTGAGTTGTTAAGCCATACGAAGAGGGCAGCGCGAAAGAAGAAAGTTGTCTACAAATAACCTTCAAAAGATCGAGCAGCAAATTAATTAATCATAAAAGAACCAATCAGAGTTAAGTAATTACACGAGAGTCGAATGATTATTCAAGGTCATGAATATTAAATAAATCTTTCAAGGTTATTCAAGGTCAGTTATTCCTGAAAGGTAAAACAGTGATAATAAATGTGCCGCTTTTTTACTGGGCATTCTATAGAATAGTAATGAATCAACAAATGATACTTGCCTTCATCGGGGACTTTTTGGACACGTGTGCGACCAACATGTTCATTGCAAGGTCTTCACAGTTCATTTTTTTATAGACTAATTCCCGAATCGCTGGGTTCATCACATACGAATATAGAAAGAAATAATGCTATGAAAAGAAAAAAGAAAAAAAAAAAAAAGTAGAACTTAATATGTTTATTCAGATCAACTAGTGACATTATAAAAAAAGAAAAAAGAAAAATAATGCTTCTGTTGTTAAACTATCATGTGACACCTTCCTTGGGTTAAATGCACGTTAATCTTAACAGCATTCTCGATATTTGCACTCCACTGGGATTATCCATAGCTGTAGAAATCTACCGTGCTTTTGTTTTACTGATATGGTATCCGCACCCAACTATCTTTCTACAACTTCAGACGGTTGTGAGTTACAGTTTTGAATTCGGAGTTTTTCTTCTTCCAGCCTGGTTGCCAATAACGGCACGACGGTCTTGTCTACACTGCTATCTAACCCATAGCCGAAGGGGTTGGAGTAGAGACGAACATACCGTTCCCAGTGGTATATCTCGTTAAAGTGAATGTAACGAACTCGACCGGAATTTGAACTCGGTTCACCAATTTCCTCTTGCGAACTGCTAATATTCTTCTTTTTCTCATGGCTCTCCACATCTTCCTATACTTTATAGGTTTAAGCAATATTTGTCCACTTACTATCCCTCCAAGTTCAAGGTTAGTTAAGTTACTCACTGTTTCCCTCTTAGCCTCTTGCCTCTAATATGTCTTGTGGGTGCGAAGGATATTATTATTATTATTATTATAAATAAATATATAAAATAAAATATAAAATAATAATAATGAAAATTGTAAATGAAATAAAACAAAACAATAACATGAAAACGTTATATAAAATAGATTAAACAAATTAAAAATAATAAAAAATACTCCCGGCATGCAACAAAAACTGTTCCTGCCGGAATACGGACATCCCTCCAAAAGATGTTAAATTCAATCTCTTTGCCACGAACCTTGGTACGGGCAACACGTGTCCGACTTCTCTCGGTGATATGGTTTGTAATACTACGGAGTAAATTTCTCCCTTTTATCACATGTACCATAAAATAATTGTAACCTTAAAAAATACACTCAAAAATATAAATAAATTGTATGAAAGCAACATAGAATTTAAAATGCTTTTCCTGTTATTTATGCACGTTTTATTTCCTGACAAATTCTTTTATCTCCGTGAACACGAAGCTAATTATTGCTGCAATGATGTGAGTGAATAACCCCACAAGTGTCAAATTCTCAAAGCCTTCTTTCCTCATTGTTCAGGTGTATTTTCTAAAGCCAAGTTTCATTTTGGTTTCCATTTTCCTTAATAATTCCGCTTTACTCACGTATTCGGTTCATGTAATTCTCGGCCACCCTTCCATAGAAGACCATCTACTTTGCCTAAGTTCTTTACTTCATCAGTGAGGAAACTGTCCAGCATTTACTGCCATATAAGAGGAATGATATATAGTAATCCAGCACCATTTTCTTTGTTACTAATGGACATTTCCTGTTTCTTAAGGCTTACCTTAGCTTTTGGAAGGCACCTTATGTTATTTCAATGAGCTTTTGGATTTTAGTTTTAAATGTTGACTGTATATTCGTTCTATATGATTAATATTCACTAAAGAATTAAGTGCATTGACAAGAAAGGAAAGTATCATGTTAGAGACTGTTAGCATAGAATTTGCGATTGCATCTGGCGATTTCAACTGTAAAGTGATGAGACCTTCCTGCCAATCTGGTACTGCGCTAAAATTCGTAAAGTCGGGGTATGAAATAGGAAAACTCATCAGAACAATCATCATATATATATATATATATATATATATATATATATATATATATATATATATATATATATATATATATATATATACTGTCAATATATATACCTCATAACACCCTCGAGTGTTTAGCGCTGGAGTGGATAGAATGGAGATCAACGTGTTTTAGTGGATTCAGCAGTTTTCAGCCTGCTAGTCTGAATCGTCTTCAAGAAGCGAGAGCAAGATCTAAGAGGTCAGCCAATCTAACAGTGATCTCATCCCACAATCCTCACTCTTGCTCCATATGTGACCTCCTTTGTAAATCACTAGCGGGTCTTAAGTGCCACTTAAGATTATCGCACAAAATTTCATAACTGAATCAATTGGTTAAGTTATCAGATCTTCATACATCGAAACCGACGGGAGAGTCGATTATTATTATATATATATGAGGCTGTCACTACCAAATTCAACTAGGTTAATCATATTGTTTGAAGTATATTGAGGCATGCAGGATCAGCTAGTACTTTTCAACTTCACTGGTACTTATTTATAATAATTTCTTTTTATACTTCTACTAATCCTATTATAATTGTACTTGTCCCGCCATTTGTTAGTTTGCACGACTGTTACGTCCTGCCAATACATCATAAATAATGGATTATTCTGTTTTCTTTTCGCGTGAAAAGAACATGTAAGAAAGAAGAAGGAACGATAGAATTGGAGAAAGAGAATCAGATTAAGCTGATAAGAACAGATACTACACTTTGATTTTAGCCAAAAGGCCGAGAAGAAATTGTATTTTCTTGCCGCCCCACGCTGGCAGGATGTTACATGAGTCAGTTATGTGCCATGCGTGATACACGTTTAAGCAATCATGTGTCTATCGATGCATAACTTACAGGCAGATTTTTTCCCCGCAGTAGGTTGCCATTTCTTTCTACGGTAGACCAGTTTCCATCCAAGGCTATAGAACCTTGGGGGAGGAGGGAGAAGATGATTTATACCTTTTCCAAGGGTATTAGCACGTAAGTGAATATAATGAATCCGACTGGAATTCGAACTCGGCTCTCCGATTCCTCAATCCGAGCCGCTATCCATTAATGTTACATAAAGACAGTTTAATGTGGGGAACACGAACACACGCACCTAGGCCAGGTCCCAAACTAGGACAGCCCATGTCACCGTCGTTTATGCTGGCATCGCTATTACTACCTATCCAGCTATTTAGTGCAATTAGGGAGGTACTGCTGCACCTCGAAATAATATTTTTACTTGCGTTCTGTCCGCAGACAGAGACACAACTGAGAGATGAAATGTAATTTATCCGACCGAAGGCATATCAGTTTGATCAGTTTTCAGACTTGCAGTATCGAACGACGCAACCCGAATAAAGCAATCGCCAAAAATCCAGTTACCATAAATAAAATAACACAGTCTGCTGAAATATTTTAAAATTATTATTAAGAGAAATGTTCATAAGACGGGGATATGACTAATAATACTAATACTACTATTAATGATGATAGCTTTTGATCTTAATCGAATGGGGTGTTAATATGTACATGTTTTCCCTTGGTTAATTAAATAGGCTAGAGCAAATATTCCGTTCAGTAATACAGTCATGTCAATTCTTCTACTACATGCCGTATCTGTTCAGGACGTTGTCGATCATCGCTCTCCACAATTTCCTTCACTTTGTAGCGCTTAGTAAAATTTGTCTTTTTGCTGTTTCTCTTAAACTCTCTTCTGTTAACCATTTATACAAGCTTGTCAGGCTGGGGTTATGCGTGATTTTCCTCTGTCCCTCTTTTCGCCTTTTATGTCCTGTGTGTGTCACATTTCTAAACCGTCTTTGCTCATTATGTGCCCTAGAAATTTCAACTGTCTCTTTCTGACGTAAGTATAAATATCCTTTCTGTTTTCATTTTCTCGTCGTTACTCCCATGCTCAGTCCATGGTTTCCTCAGCATTTTTCTGTAGAGCCACATTTCTGTTGCCTCAGCTATTTTCTTCATTTCTGATGAGTGATATTACATAACATTTTAATAAAAAAAATTCCCGTTTGCTTAGCTTTTGGAAAGCATCTTTCTCTATCCCAATGCGACTTCGGTTTGCGGTGTCATATTTTCTATCCTCAGATATTTAAATTTTTGTAGTTGCTTTATATTGATATCTCCAATTTGTAATTTGCATAAGGGGCTACTCCTTTTGCTGATACACATGCATTGTCTTCTTGCAATTGATGTTTAGTCAATTCTTTTCGCTTTCCTTCTCTACCTTTTGTCGGAGTTCCTGCAGTTTCTTTTCTGGGTCTGTTATCAATACTGTGTAATCTGCTATGTTGTTAAGATTGTGATCAATCTTGGTAGGACTATTAATTCTCTCAGAATCGCCTTCCTGTATAGGTTGAATAAGTCCGGTGAGAAGATGCATCCTTGTATTATACCCATTTCTATTTTTGTATATTTACTGAATTCATTTTCTGTCCGTATGTAGGCGATTTTGCTTCCCACTGGTGAAAAATACATAAAGATTTTAGCTCTAAGAGAGGAGAAAATCCTCGCTGTATTTGACTATTTTTTTTTTTTTGTTAAGTTTTTAAAAATTTGATTTTTGTAAAGACTACACTTTTAAGACTTTATAAAAATATCACAGAAGATAAATTTTAAAAAAAATTTTTATACTTGCAAATTATCTTTTGAAATTCATAATTATTGTTCTATAATTTGAGTAAATTGTAGCGAGATTTACCGATTCTGATTTCTTAAAATGAAGAGCTGAATTTCTTTGAAAATTATATTTACATTTGGTATGCGATGCGAAAAAGTTGTCATTTTTTATAAGTCACCTTTATTTTATATCTCTCTTAAATATCTTAAAAATGTATTTATTCGTAAAAGTTAAATTATTCGTACGTATATATGAATGTCACGGACAGACAGACATTTTGTTTATGAGATTTATGCTTAAACCTCTTTTGAGCGTACCAATTAGAAATATTACTTTCTTAATTTGTATTATTAGATACTTTTGATGGGATGGCAAAGCAGATGTCGACTTACTTTATGCAAAAACGTTGCTCCTGTAAGAATCAACGATTGACCCATTTTATAGCCACTGCTATAAAACCACTTTTTTTTCTTAGGGTTCCACTCATGATAACGAGCTGGAAAGCCGACAATTCTGTCTCTGTTTTCTCTCCAAACTCTGAAAAAGAAAATTGAAAGTGTCTTATATAGAAAATAAAAAACATGTAAATACCAATGAAAGAAAAGAGGCTTTATTTTTGGAAATATTTTATAGAAAATAAAGGCATTCATACACCAAGATCATGCAGATAACTTCCTAGAAAGCATTTACACACACAGACAAATGGTTGTCTTTTACAAAGAAAACCATTTGCAGGTTATTTCATGCCAGAAAATATTTTTGGATTGTAAGAAATATTTTGGTGATAATAATAATAATTTATTGATACAAGTACTTCTAAATGACACCCCCTTTTTTTCGTGCACATGTGCAGTTGCATTCAACATAAACATCACTTTAGTCTGATGATGTCTTAAAAGTCGAAACGCGTCACACAAAATTTTTTCCAATTTGCTATAGTTTCCCCACCAAAATTGTTCCTGGCATATATTAAAAAAAAAAAAATGTATATATTGTTTCACATAGTATTTTAAATAAACACAGCGAGAATTCTTTGGAACTTGGGAAATTTCAGAAGACTATAAAACTTGTTAATTTTATACTGAGTCAGTCAGTTATATGTCGCACGTGATACACGCTTAGGCGATCATGTCGAAAGACAGATTTTTTTCCCGCAGTAGGTTGCCATTTCTTTCTGCGGTAGACCAGTTGCCATCCAAGGCTATAGAACCCAGTCTGTCCTGCTATTTACCCATGGCTGTCGGGAGAAGAGGAGGATTCATACCTTTCCTAAGGGTATTAGCATGTAAGGGAATGTAAAGAATTCGACTGGAATCCAAGCCGCTATCCACCATAAAAACGAATTGTTACTATATTTCTTTTTGATCCTTTGTTAACCATATTTATTAGTAGAATAACCACTGACTTACCTGAAAGCAAATAAAATATCACCATTCTCTAAAGTAATATCGTCGTCGACTGTAAAAATCGCTTGTGTTCTGATCACCTCAAATGGTAGGAATCGATTATTCAAACTGTTTTTGCCATTGCTAATGACCTAGATAGAAAATGAAAAGCAGAAACGTCTAAGAAATGCATTATTGACTAAATAACTAGAATAACTAGTTATGTAGTGTCTACGATATTTGATATGTGGGTAAAAAATTTTTGCGCATTGAAAAATCCAGTGCTTGTTAGTAAGGTAAGGCAAACAAACTAAGCGAAGGAGAAAAGCGAATTAAAAAGAATAATAATAACAGAAGGTAATGGGAAAACGTATAACTACTTTTTCCCCAAGAACAGTTTTGGCAATTCACAATTTACAGAGTAACGAAAACTACAGCGAGTCATATTCACCTACGTTCTGAACACACACACACACACACACACACACACACACACACACACACACACACACACACACATATATATATATGTATGTATATTTTAGCAGCATGGTTTCATTGAGACATGTCTTATTGAATAATTTAGACAAGTTTTGTCTACTTATTTTCAACTGGATCCTTTCATATTCACCGACAAGCATTTTAGTGTAGTTATTGGAGGACGGAAGAAAATCACCGTATTGAGACATATTCATTTATTCCGAGTACTTTCGACATAGCACAATGTCATCATCGGGGTGTCATCATCAGGGTGTCATCATCATCTTGCAATAAACAACACCCTGATGATGGCATTGTGCTATACCGAAAGTACTCGGAATAAGAGGAATATATATCAACAAGGCAATTTCCCTCGTCCTCCAATAACGATACCAAAAAGATTGTCAGTGAATATGAAAGGCACCAATTGAAAATAAGTAGACAAACCTGCCTAAATTATTCAATGAAACATATATACATACACACAAGTAAAGGATTGATATATAGGGAATAAATTTCTATAACCAAAAATACTATTCTTAAAAGAATGCTCAATAAAGAGCAGAGCAAAATTAATTCATTCGAAAATTATAACATAAACATGTTATAAAATCACTACAAAAATAGCCATTTTGTTTCAACACTTCTGTTATCTTAAGTGATTGTGATGGATGTAGAATAATGAGTTTTCAAAGGTTCAAATCAATGAAACATCCCTCAATAGGGGAAACGCTGTAATATAAGCTACAATGCGCAATCAAAATACAATTATATGAAAATTCAAAAAACTTTACAACGAAACTATATATACACGTGGGTATGGAGCCCTGATTCCAGATGCTAATTTTCACTGTCACTGAAAACTCATTTTTTGTACATTGAGAGGCTCCAGAGTTTTTAATTTTTGTATTCATATATATTAACCAACCAGTGACGTCGTATGAGACGCGATATTCTTTGAATTGGCAGACGATGAAATATTTCTTAAAAATGATAATTTTGGAGGCTCAACTTCAGAATAGGTTCAATATATATATATATATATATATATATATATATATATATATATATATATATATATATATGTCAGCCTTCACTGTTAAGACCCACCGTGCCTCTCATATTGTAGCGAGCAATCCTTATTCCTTTCGTTTTCCCTATTGGTTATACTCGGACAGCTTTTTCTCACGGACTGATACTTTGTGAAATGCCACAATCTTAACCATTTCAAGTCTAGGTTTAATCGTTATCATTCCCGCATAACCCCATAAAACTTCCCCCTTTACCTCTTACTCTGTAACCCTCTACCTCGAGTGGCTCTCGGGAAGAATGTTATTGTAAAAGAAATATGAACCCAACCAAACTTTTCACCATCTCAGATTTTTATGACATCTTACTATGTCAATATCTTATATGATACTCCACCTTAAGAAACGGAAAACTTAAAAAAAGAAGCCGAGAAATGGTTCACAGTGTTCAATGAAGCTTTCTAGTTGTTTTACTTAGTTGATTTGTTTAACGGCATATCAACTCCTTATTGATCATTTAATGCGAAATTTAATTCACTTGGGAAATCTGAAGTAATAAAAATATGATATGTTAATCTGCTTTCACAGTTGAATACATCCAATAGTTGATTAGAAAATCCGTTATTAATAACGAATTTCCTAATCAATTGTTGGATTTCCTTATTAGAATTTTTCTGTTAAAGTTAGCTAATAGCAACGATGAGAATAGAAACATAAACAATAACATTAATATTTTTTTATAAAAATCAAATGAACGAAAATTATAAACAAGACTAGAATTAAGAACATTATAAAAAATGCACAACATCAGTTGACAATAACAAAAAAATTAGATTAATTATTTATTACAAAAAAATTTAAAACCTCTAACCTTATAGTTAAAAATAATAATTCACATCTTAGAACAAAAGGAAAAATATTATTTACGAATTTAAATGTCCATTAAGGAATTGTATTCCTGATCAATCAAAATTTGCAAACAATTTTATAGGCCATACTACATGTTTGACACGCAGACTCACTCTACAACTTTCTGACCATAGCTCATTAGGTATCATTTAAATACTCATGGAGACCTACTGTACCCTATTCGTAACATGTTGACAACACAAGTATAATACCATCATCTGCATGCAAACAAAGTTAAAAATAATGGAACCGTTATTAATAAAAACAACAACAACAACAAAAAAACAACACTCAATATCAACTATGAGCATGGACACAATATCTTGACCGTGTTTTAAAAATGAATACATTGTACAAATACATACATACAACAAACTTTTTATTGTTTACAGTTAATATATTTCAATGAAAATGGTTAAATGTATAGCCGAAGGCACTCGGATAAAAAGAACATTTGGACAGTTTTTATATAATTTATCATCCGGAAAGAAAAAAAATTATTAGATTACATGAGAAATTATATAAAAAAATTAAATCAAAGCACCTTGTCAGTCGTATTTAATGAAATATATATATATATATATATATATATATATATATATATATATATATATATATATATATATATATTATATTATATATATATTATATATATATATATATATATATATATATATATATATTATATATATATATATATATATATATATATATATATATATATATATATATATATATATATATATATATATATATATATATATATATATATATATATATATATATATATATATATATATATATATATATATATATATATATATATATATATATATATATATATATATATATATATATATATATATATATATATATATATAAAATTAATTTTAAAAAAGAAGTCCTTAGTTTTAATTTGAAGCTAATAGATTAAATTTAATATTTCCAATAAGCAAAATACTTTGCTGTATTTCGATTTGGTTGAAATTATTGGTTTTTGAATTTGTTAAAAATCGTTGTTTTTAGCCAATTTTAGCCATATTTACAAATCAGTCAACACAATATAATTCTCTTTATTAAAAAATCTTTCAAAAATATAATATACTTTTCTGAAACTTTATTTAAAGTTTAATTAATCTGATTTGAAAAAAATATTTTAGTTTAAAAATCGCAGAAAAGCATTATAACAGGGAGGTGGGTATTTTTATGAGGTGTTGACAATACCTCATAAAAGCATCTCTTACAATCTCGCTACACTTATGTTTGGGATTTTTTTCTACGTGGAACATATCAGTAAAAGTTAATTGAATATAACAAGTTCGCTTTATTTATATAATTCTTTAACTAGCCAGTAATCTTTAAAATTTATGAAAATATTCTAAGTAATCTAATATTTTATTGAATTTTAAATTCTTTGGCTTCAAATGTATTATAATTGGCACTCTTATTTTCTGATAGCGTTGTGCATGGACGCACATATTTACAAAAATCGACACGTTTATACACACACAAAATTTTCAAAATTCTTTATAAAATATAGGGGGTCACTAAACTGTAATACGCTTTTTAATTTATGATTATTAAATATAGCTTTTATGTAATAACAATATCACCTAGCCGGCACAAAATTAAATTAAAAAAAAAATTATAACAATTCTTGTAAAACTTCATCGATTTTTTACAATAGTGTCCTTAATATATCTTATTTATACAAACAATTAAAAGCTTTTCTAATTAAATAATATCTTAGTTTTATTGCATTTTTATTGTACGATTGTGAGTAAATTTTCGGTAAATGGGGTTCCTGTTTTTCAAAAAGAAAAACAAAATTATGATTTAAATTCTCCAAGGAGTTCTACTTTTAATTAATATAAACATGTGGAGGAGGGTAACAGGTGTAAAAAATATTTTTACGAGATTTTTTAAAAAGAAAAATTTCTGAAATAATTTCCTTCATTTGTGAATAAGTCCTGAAAGTTTCATTAAAATCTGACAGTTATTTGATTTTTGCAAGTTTTTCTAAATCAATGCATTTTACACCGCAAAGAGACGCTAAAATCTACCATACTAATTTTTTAATAATCAAAAACTCTTTTGGTCTTTCTTAACAAAAATTTTGAAGATAAAAGTTTAGGGCATTTTTTTCATCACATAAGCTCATTTTTAGCATATCTTTGGAGGTACCTATTTCAAATATATTTTGGCAGCAACATTTCTTTCAAAACAGGTATCGTTTAAAAAAAAAACCCCAAAAAACAATACACATAAAAATTTCACTTTGACCGTTTAAATGATGCCCCGATGAGTGACTTAAAATTGGTTGCATCAAACTTGAGAACGTCGGAATTAAAAACAAAAAAAACTTTCCTAAATTTTGTATTTTATTTTTAATTTTCTAAATAGTTGTTTTGTGCTATTGATACATTTTCCAAAGTTTATATTTATTTTATATTATTTTTTTACCGGAGAACTCAAAGCATACTTCTTGCAAACAAATGTAGCAACATTTAGAAGTTCTCCGGAAAAATAATTTAAAATAAAAAAAAAAAGAACTTTGGCAAATTTATCGATAACATAAAACAACTATTTCGGTAATCTGAAAAACTGATAGACGGATCTTGTCGATATTATTAAACAAAACATGTTTTAATATATGTTATATTTATATATTTATACGTTATTTTTATAGATACAAATATTTAAGTAAATGCTCTGTTTATAATAAACAGTATTAACAATATTTACCGGCCTGAATGTCCGAGAAATTTCATAGAAAATATTCGTCTTACGACAGGAATCGAATCTGTATCCTACACGGAACTATCATTTAGCTACAGAGGAAGCATCAGGTTAGCAAGGATAAATTACTGCTTTTAAACTACAAATTTCTCCTTATTTCTCTCGAACGTTCATAGATGGACTAAGCGTATCTTAACGTAAAAAAATGAAGTCATATATTATGAAATATATTGAAATAATTGTCAGACTTAGTCCGTTTCATTATATATATATATATATATATATATATATATATATATATATATATATATATATATATGTATATAAATATATATATATAATTAGAAAAAGATTATTTTCACATTAAGCTTCGCACGCAAGAAATCAAACGGGATAAGGATTTTCTCTAATAATTTCATCTACAAACGGATTCTGCCCACCTCAAAAAACTAATGTTGGATAGTTTCCACCGTCACTCAAACATTTGAAAAAATTTGGAACCCCAATCTCCGTGCTTCATTATTGTTACCTGGTTAATATTAATAAATGTTTTTCGTACTGATCATATCTACTCTACTCTATAAACTATATGAAGCATACATAGACTCTTTTTTCTAACCATATATATATATATTGGTAAAGTTCGTACTGATTTCATCGGTACCCTTTCGTTTGCTTTGTTTTTGACCATTATCTACCAGCTTATATATATTATATATATATATATATATATATATATATATATATATATATATATATATATGTGTGTGTGTGTGTGTGTGTCAACTCAACCAATAGTTGTATACATGATCAGTTTTGGTCATTTGGATGAATTTTTTACTGTGTTACATCCACCCTAAAAGAAACGGGAAATATAAAAATAGAAACTTAATTTGTGTCCGAATCCAAGAACTCTAGAGGGAAGTGTTGAATTCATGCCTTTGCCAAGGTAACGAGTGCGAAAATGAACGCAAAACACTAGATTGGAACTTGAAACCAGCTCGACGATTCTGTTGAACCGTTGCGCCACCCGATCATCCCTTCTTTTATGTAAACTGTTCTGAAAGAACAGGGACGATTTAGAATATTCTATTGAAGATCACGGTATACAAATATTATGTTCAGCACCTAGCTTTAAACAATATTCAGTAGAGGAGATCAATTTATTTGAAGAGATAACCTGTTGAATCTTGCTTTGAAAATTACGCAGTGTCCCTATAGACTGATACATAGAACATAGATTTATGGTTTCATTTCCCCCATTGTTTTATGTATTTTTTTTTTAGTTTTCTTCTTATTATTATTATTTTTCATCTTCTATGTGCTGTGTCCCTTCAGGGCGTTGCCGACCATAGCTGTCCACAATTAAATTGGTTATGCGTTATTTTCCCTGTTCCTTTTGTTTTCAATCTTTCCTGTAAGTATCAAATTTTCCAAGCCCTCTTTCCTCTAGCAATTTCAGCTGTCTCTTTCTGATGTAAACTATAAACATAATTTTTGTTTCAATTTTCTCTAAAACTCCGTCGTTGCTCACATGTCTTTGGTATTGTCAGAATCTTTCTGTAGAACCACATTTCTGTTACTTAAAGATTCTTCTTCATCTATGAGGAGATTATCCAGAATTCACTAGAGGGCTGATATTGCACAGAATTCTTTTCTTTGCTTATATATATATATATATATATATATATATATGAATATGATGGACCCTCTCGTCGGTTTCGACGTGTGAGATTCCGACAACTTTGTTTATTTAACCTTGTGTGTGAGTCGCAAGTGACATTTCAGTCCTGCTAGTGATTTGCAAAGAAGTCCATAGATTGTGCAAGAGTGTGGATTGTTGGAGTATATGGCTGGAACAGCAGCACATATTTTATTCCTTTCCCTAGTTTGACGAAGCTTGACAATGTTTGATGCTGCCTTGTTCTTGATGCCATTGTAGCATGTAGTCTTCCATTCATTACGATCAATTACGATGTTCTCAAAAAGGCAGTGTGATTTATATTCGCAGCTAAGAGGTTACTCTTCAGCCTGTCTCTGTACCTAAGCAAAGGCCGACCCACATTTCGATGACCATTGTCAAGTTGACCATACATGAGCATTTATATATATATATATATATATATATATATATATATATATATATATATATATATATATATATATAGATAGATAGATAGATATAGATATAGATAGATAGATAATAGCTCTTTCAAAATGGGAAAAATAGCTATTTTGCATTTTTGCTGAGTATTTTGCAGCCCATAAAAATAAACCAAATGTGAAATAAAACTTCAACTTAATTATATTCTTTTAATAGAGTGACTTGTGTAAAAAAAAAATAGCACATTCTTTTTATGAGAATTTAGTAATTCCTGGTTGATCAAAACCTCGTATAACAATGTTAAAATCTCGAATTTCTTTAACAGTTACAAGGTAAAACATAATTTCTGCTCAGTTTCAAGTAAAACTTAAAAAGAAACTCTTCATAAGAATCGATATAATTACCATAAATATTTACTTACGTGTATTGGCACTCCAATATCTGGTATGACCGACTTATTAACTTTGTTGTCTTGAGCGTTCCAAACTAACACAATACGATCTAGAAATGGTAAGTTTTTGTATTGGCTCAGAATTTGTTTTAAGATATTTTCTCTGTGGTAGGTCACAATCAAAACTGCAAAACAAATACATAGTTTCTTTAAGACTTAGATAAAAAATATTAGTTTTAGTCATTAGTAATATCCGTTTATCAACTATACGCATTGTTCTTTTCGCTAATACTCTGCTTAGCTTTTGAATTGATTCAGTGGCCATCCCAATTACGTTTTCGAATCACAGTGTCGCAATTTCTTCTGTTAGAACACTTCCCAGTTATTTAAATCCGGTGAGAAGACACACCCTTGTCTTACACCCCTTTCTATTCTCTTATATCTGCTGGGGTCATTTTCTAACCATAGACCGGCGGTTTGTTGCCAGTATAGCTTCTGGATTATTCTAATATCCTTCCTGAATGTCACGGTGGCTGAACAAACTTACGAAATCCAGTTATAAGACGAAACCGTTCAGTTTGTACCTGGAGTATCATTGAAATCGTCAAAAAGAAGGTGAAGAGAAATTCACGAAGAAGCATGTAGAAGATGACAAAAGAGTTGAATATTTCGGATAGGTCGACAAGGAAGACTGTGAAAGAGGATTTAGGGCTAAAACAATACATGATTCAGCGACGATAGCTGCTCTTAAGTGCTTCCAAACAAAAAACGGCAGAGGTAAGACTATGCTTGAGAAATGCAGCGTGGCACAGACAAAGTTTTCGTCTGGACGAACGAGTTTTTCACTCTTATGGCCGTGATGAACTACCAAAATGTTAGATAGGATTTACGCTACTTCATCAGGAAACATACCCAAATGTTTCGGAACACATTTCAAGCGACAGAAATCAACTGGTGCCATGGTTTGTTTTGCTGCTGCTCCTGATAATTAGAAATTGCCATTGGTGTTCATTGAAGGAGTGAAAGTGAATAGCCGAGTTAATTGGCAAATGTTGGAGCAAGATATGTTGCTCTGTCTATTATTCGCATTTGGAAGTCCTCACTCAAGACGAAGATCCAGCACACACCGTTAGTTTGATGCAGAACTTATTTTTTTTTTTTTTTTAAGCGTTTCACCCCAAACAAGGCGGAAAGCAACTAGGACGCAAGGGGTTACAGAAAATTTGGAGCAAGATCAGATAGGAGTGATAGAAGAAAGGATGAGAAGAAGGGTAGTGGATAGATCAAGGCAACTGGAGATACAGAGGCCAGTAAGAGAGAGAGAGAGAGAGAGAGAGAGAGAGAGAGAGAGAGAGAGAGAGAGAGAGAGAGAGAGAGAAAGAGAGAGAGAGAGAGAGAGAGTGTGTGTGTGTGTACCGGGAACCCCTTCCTAAACCAGAAACAAGGCGTAAGCCTCTACTCATGTCCAAGAGAAGGGGGAGGAGTGTTGACCGGGCGGGCGCAAAGTGATATTTCCGTGGTTTTCTGATAATCAATTTGACCTTCATCAAGCCCTAATATTAATTTTATGGGATTGCGATATGGCCCATATTGGAGAGCGATGTTTCACGTATCTCATATTCAAGTGTGTCAAACTTGAAAGAAACTCTTTTGACACTGTAGTACAATTTGAGTGAAGAGGTGGTGAAGGAGATTGCATTTCCGTTGGTAAGAGATAAAAGCTATGGTGAAAACAAATGGTGGCTATTTTTAATTGAAATTATACGTAAGATATTGTTAATAGATATAAAAATCAAATTGTAAACTTTCATTAACAAAATCTTAAACTTTATTTTATGAAAACATGGATAAATATTTATGCCGCACCACGGTATTATGGATAAGAGTGTGTACAAGGTATTCAGCGTGGATTTTGTTGTAAACAAAAATTCAGTTGAGGACCTCACCCACCCCGCTGAAGACTTCGTTGAGAATAAAAAGAACAAAATATTCAGTTGAGTAACTAATAATAAATAAATTTCGCTCGAGGAGATGCAAAACAAAGACAAAAATATTTAATGCAGGAGTGGAGTTTCTCATCCATGAGAAGTACGATGCTTTGTACCATCTCTTGCTAATATATACGCATTATGCACTTACATAATATATATATATATATATATATATATATATATATATATATATATATATATATATATATATATATATATATATTCGCATTAGTAATATATTATATATAGTATATATTCACATAATATACATTGTGTATGCCACATAAGTAATAATATATATATATGCATAATATACATTACATAATATCATCGTATAAGTAATATAGATTACATGATATATATTCACATAATATATATTGCATAATACATCCCCATAAGTAATATACATTAATTCCATATAAAACTAAAACTCTACTCTTGTACGTATATATGAGTATTCCGAGATACAGCTTAAACGGTACATAATATCCCAATCAATTTAGGAGCGTATTGTACCTTAAAACCCTGCCGAGTGCAATGCCAAGTTTCATAAATTTTCACGCTAGCCTGTGAGGTCAAAGGACACGGTAGAAACGCATTCATTTGTCCACCGTCCGAAAAAGACCGGAAAAGAGGTAAAAATAAAATCTAAAGAACTACGGAAGACTAGCAGTGAGATAATCAAGAATTTGTTATTTATATTTAAAACTAAATTTTTCTTTAACCTTATATAACCAATAGTTTAATAATACATTTTTTTTAGTCTATACACTTTTATTAATCATATTATAACGAATATTTTTATTTATTTATACTGACTGAACGAAAGATATGAAAATAGATTAATATCATAATACTCCTCTGATATTGAACAGTAGTCAATCAACGCGAGACAGAATTATTTCCTTTTTGTACTTCCATACCAAAAATAATCTAACAGTTGCTAAAAGGAAAAGATAAAATAAAATTCTTTTAAAAAAGGCCACACTCGAAAATTATATCAAACGTTACATTTTTTAAATCTTCAAACGTTTTTTTTTTATAAAGTCTTTCGACTAACAGTTAACGGAATTAATTTCAAAATTTTAAAAAGAAAATAATAATGAGTCTAGATTTTTTTTCTGCCCAATCTGAAAGAAAAGAACGTGTTTTATAAAATTATAAGCACCAATTCTCAAAATAATAATTTTTTTTAGTTTTATTGAATTGTTTTTGGAAAAAATTACGTATATTCACATTCGGTATTTTATAAATTTCTTAGAGAAAAATACCATCTCCAGGTATTTCTTTTTATATAACTGTAAAAAATTTGGACGAACACACCGCCACCAAATTAAAAAGTATCGAAGAGAGTGTATGAAAAATACCCCCTCAAAATATTTACCCAAGATAATAAAATAACATATTAAATAAAACATTCATTCTATCATTAATAAACAAATCCTGAAAATTTCGTTAGAATCGGATAATTCCCTGGTTTTTTTTGGGTGGGGCAAATATTTTAATATAAGGATATCTTTTTTTTACTTTCATTGCGGAAAAAGTATCCATTTTGGTGGTACCAATTGTTAACTATGACGCCAAATGGAACAATAAACCTTCTTTTCCAGTTTTTATTATTCCTTTTTATATTCAAAGTACATTTTATGGAAGAAGTAAAAAATATCTATTGACATCGTAAAATAGTTTATTTTCATTCTTCGTATCAGGATAAGTTTGCATTAAGGCGTTTTGGGTGCTTTTCACTCATTTTCGGACTGGGAAAATTACTTATTAACTAATAATTAATACAAAATATACTTATAATTTTGGAAAGGAGAAGAGGTAATATGTGTTACATAACTTGATAATAAATAAATAAGTAACTATACGCTAGTTTGTTACCGTTATGTATTTTGAAATAAATGCAAGTAAGAAACAAGTATGTATAATAAAAAATATACTTTACTTTGAAAAAGACTACACTTATTTTAAGCTAGTACTCCAAATTTTCAAGCAATGTGTTAACTATGAGGTCCAGTCGAACAATAAACCTTCTCTTACCGTCTTTAAAGACAACTTAAAATGTGTAATTAATAATAAAATTGATAATATTCTTATCTCATCATTTAGTCTCGTTAACTAGTAATGTATATTCGCATAACTAATATACATTACTTAATATATATTCTCATAAGTAATATTTATTACATGCTAGCAGTAGAGCCCGGCGTTGCCCGGGGATGTAACAGTAAGAGATAGATCATAAAGACTGAAAAATAAAATTGACAAGGATTATTGTTTAAGGTTGACGGACACGCATGTCTTAATTAATTTTGTTTTGTTTTGTTTTGTTTTTTTTTACGAATTGGTCAAACCCAAACTCAAACAAAAACATTGTTTTCAATCGTTATGAGTCTACCGATTGAATAGAATTTTATTATAAATAATTGTCTTGTAAATGGAATTTATAAAGCATTCTGAATGTAAAAATAAAGAAAAAAGTGTGCAAGACAATAAGAAACACCACCTGCCAAAAAAAAAGTGAAGTTTTGTTGAAATCGGTTGAAAAATGTAGGAAAACGATCCCATATATAAACGAACACACACACACACACACACACACACACACACACACACACACACACACACACACACACAACCTGGGTTTTAAGTATAACTCGATATGAGTTGTCCCCTTTCATTCTCGCGATGTCTCTTAATCGTGTTTTCAAATTGATTTCATGCAAAAGCAATTGTGTTTTTCAAATTTTTGGCGCTGTCAGAACCACCGCAAGGTAATTTGACGTAGTCATGTGAAGTTTTGTTGAAATCGGTTGAAAAATGTAGGAAATCCGATCCAATATAAACGTAAACACACACACACACACACACACACACACACACACACACACACACACACACGCACACGCGCGCGCGCGCAACCTGGGTTTTATAATAAGTATGATTATATATAAGCAAAATAATGATTATATAATGTATATGTTCTTATCAGTAATAAATTAAGATTGAAATACATTAATGTAACTCAGTAAAATCTGGTGAACGTAGTCAATTTTGTTAGTTTAGTTATTTTTTTCTTTCTTATAAAATATTATATTTATATTTTTAAATTTACTTACCTGTAAATTTTTCCGTCGGCCAACTTCTGCCTACACCTGGGTAAAAATTTAAACTCAAATTGAACAATATTTTAAAAGTGACCTGTGAACAATAATGGATTTCTCAACGCAAAAAGATATCAACATTGAATGCTATAAAACTATTTTAAATTTTGACAAGCATAAACATTGACTGGATAACATGAATAAATGAACGTCAAAAATTATTTTTACTTTAAAAAGATTAAAATACGACATTTCAATATCAGGGTTCAGCTAGAAAAGGGAAGAAAAGGCAATCGATGCGAAAAGAGGAAAAGTTTGGACAAAAGAGTGTACAAAAATGAAACGATTAAAGAAAAATTGGGAAAAAGAAAGTAAAAAAAAAGTGAAGTAAGAAAAATTGGAAAATAGAATTTAAAAAATAAAATGTAGAATAGAAAAAGAATGAAACGATGTAAGAAAATTTGGAAAAATGAATGTATGAAAAATGAAATGAAAAGAGAATAATTTGAAAATGAATGTAAAAAAAATTGGAAAAAAAAGAATGTAAAAAAAAAAAGAATTTTATTAAAACAAATTGGAAAAAAGAAAGTAAATAAAATGAATTGAAAAAAAAAAAAAAATGGAAAAAAACTATGTAAAAATAATGGACCGAATAAAAAAAATGAAATCAAGAATGAAAAATTTGAAAAAAGAAATTGAAAAAAATGAAACGATGTAAGAAAAATTGGAAAAACGAATATATAAAAAATGAAATGAAAAGAAAAAAATTAGAATAAAGAATATAAAAAATGATTTGAAGAAAAAAAATTAGAAAAAAGAATGTAAAAAAAAAAATGAATTGAAAAACGAAAAATTCGAAAAAAATGAATCGATGAAAAAATTTTTTAAAAAAGAATGTAAAAAAATAAAATGAAGAAAGAAAAATTGGAAAAAAAGTAAAAAAAAAATGAAGAAAGAATTGGAAAAAAGAATGTAAAAAAATGAAATGGAGAAAGAAAAATTGGAAAAAAATGAATGTAAACATGGCGGACAGAAGAAAAAAAAATTAGGAAAAAAATGAAAAAAAAACAAAAACAGAAAAAAGAATAAAAAAAATTAAGAAAAATTAGAAAAAAGTATGTAAAAAAATTAAACGAAGAAAAAAAATTAGGAAAAGAATGTAAAAAAAAAAATGGAATAAAGGAACGATGAATATCAATGTGTGGCTTTCATACAAAAATGGTTCCCCACCTTGACCCTGCCTATATATTAATTACTTTAGTAAATTCTTTGTTAGTTTTGAGGAATGGGTCATTTAATGCCGAAATTTAATTTTCTTGGGTGCTTTGAAGTACCAAAAATACGATATACATTATTCTGCTTTCATAGATGAATACATGGTAGATGATACTCAACTTTTGTGCATATACATGTTTGAGTGAAAATAATTACTAGAGGCAGTGATATGTGTTTTATGTTGTAGTTTTGTTGAAGTTATATTTTGGAATACAGTTTGATTTAAGAAATAGTAGGATATTATATGGATTAATGCCATGAAGGAGTGCATGTTTGTTGTTTGATTTTGTTTAGCAACATATCAACATCTATGGGTTATTAATGCCGAAATCTAAATATTTTGAACACAATTTTATGGCTTCAAGTAAATATATTTTGAACAAAATTGTATGCCTTCAACTGCAGATAAAATGTATTGTTGGTAATCTTTTTTTATAAAAATGTATTGCTGGTAATTTTACTATAAAAATGTGTTTTTATACTTTCATAGTGTTTTGTTTGATGTGCGGGGGAGGTCACTATTTGTCCATAGCTGGGCCCCTAACAGACGCTACCACATCGGTTCAAGGTGAACCTGAGAACAATAGCAATTAAGAGGTGGTTCCACACTCCTCAAAACTTCCAATCTCCCGATCAGAGACCTTGCTGCCGGATGTAGTTTATCGTCATACCAAGGACTACTGTACAAGGCCCAATCGAGGTAGAGGGTTATAGAGTAAGAGACACACAGTTTATACGGTTTTGTGGGGAAGATAACATTTAAGCCTAGACTTGAATAGGTTAAGATTCTAATGCCATGCCTCTTTTGGGATATCTCAGCTTCAGTTATCTCCCTTTAGTAACTCAACTCTCCAAGTTTTTGTTCCCTCTGCTGTGGCCAGATATTGAACTCGCAATGTCAAAAAATGGCATGGCATGTGGAATTAGAACAATATACACCCGTGGACTGAATAATGGATTCGGTTCGAAATTCCAATCTATATTAGCTGAGGAACCTCAGAGCGAACAACCCGATGCATTATAGTTTTAATTTTTTTTTAAAATCATTTCACCCCAAGCAAGGCAATAAAGCTACTAAGACGAAAGAGGTTACTGAGTGTTAAGTATATAAAAAAAAACAAACCCAAAAACAACCCAAAACCTACTACTAATGAGAGAGAACAATAAAGGAAAAAGAATTATTAAGATCGAAGATAACGATTAACATTGAATTTAAATTTTTGAAGATCAAATTTGACTGGTAAGCAACAAGCGGGAATTAAATATATATTGTTATTTTAAATAGTGTAACCCGGATATAAGAGACCCGGATATAACAGAAACCCGGATATAAGAGAGATTTTCTCTGGTCCCAAATTAGAGCCTGTGATACCTAAACAAAATAGACCAAACCCGGATATAAGAGAAACCCGGATATAAGAGACTTCTTCTCCGGTCCCTACAACTCTCTTATATCCGGGTTACACTGTAGTTTGTTTTTTTTTTTTTTTTACAAAAATCATCACAACTATTGTAAAGTTTCATAATTAAGTATTACAAGTATTAATGTTAAATTTCACTTGTGACCTCTTTTGTATATCAAATAGGTGGACTATCCCAAATATACTCCTGAGATATTACGTTTTTTCGTCCTCCTGTATCTGTTGCTTTGCCATCATCTATCTATCTATCTACTATCTATATTTCTCATGTTGTCTGTCTGTGTGTCTGTCGTGGGCGTTGTTACCTCGCCCAGGCCGCATTTCTCACCTGATTTCGATGCGGTTTTCAACACAAGTTTGCAAATGGCTGCCGTAAGGACATGACGGAGCCCGATTTTCGAGTTCGAAATCAGGTTCCGAAAAAATCGATAATCGAAAAAATTCTGCTTACAGAAGGAATGATCGCATTTCAACCAAATTTGGCACCCTCTTAGAGTTCACCATTAGAAGTGTTGTCCAGAAGTTTCATGACCACGGACCCCTAAACAGCGCGGAAAATCGATAAAACCCAAAAACCGATACGCCCAGATTTCGTCTGAACCGCATGTCGGTTTTTAGCGAAAACCGAGCGGATTTATGAAGAGGCCATTGGGAGTCATCATGTGAAGTTTCAACTCTGAGACCCCCCCCCAAACAGAGTGCAAATCGACAGTCGGTCAACCCTTAAAAATGTTTTTTTTCCGGTTTTTTAAAGCTGATCGTATTGTGTTTATTTTGTTTAGTTCTTTTTTCGTAACAGATTTAATGTTTACTATAGAGCTTAGAAAAAGTTGGCAGTGTGATATAGGCAAGAAGTAAGGCATGTAACAACATCAGCACGGCAAAGGACACTCCTCTAAAGGCAAGGAAGGGCAAAAATATTTTAAGTCAAGTGATAGCGATTGCTGTATTAGTCCTACGATTTTGAATCAACCACGGGCAACGCCGGGCCATACGGCTAGTTACTTATATTACTACACTTTCAATATACCTATGTCGTTTTATAAAGTATGAGGTGTGTTAAAGTATCGTATATAAGTAGATAGATATTGATTGACTGATTTTTTTTACAGCTCATCAACCCTTTAGAGTTTAATTAAAGCCGAATCATATTTTAGATTGTAATATTTTTTTAATTTTTGCGAGTGAATATCGCATTAAAATTTTTGGGAGAAAAATAAATTTTATCGACACTGATAAAGAAAAAAAATTTTATTATGTCATTATAAGTTTTATCATTTCATTATATCAGTTTTATCATTAAGTTATATCATTAAGTTTTATATATCAGTTATATCATGTTTTTATCAATTATATCATTATATTATTTCATTAGATCAGCTAAATGATTTTTCTAGATATAATTCCTAGTATTTAACCTATAGATAAGGAGTAGATAAATTCATACCTTTCCCAAGCTTATTTGTGCATAAGTGAATGTAGCAAACCGGACTTGAATTTGAGCGTTATCATTTGTGTTGTTTTTCGTGTGCCCAGAATACACCAATATTGACGAAAGAAGTTATAATTTCAATATACCTACACGGTTTTAGGAAGTATGAGAGGCGTTTGGGATATCCTATATACTTCCGTTGATTTTTTTTTTTTTATAGAACTATGAAATTTCTGCTTTCGAAAAGGTCACACGTATGATATCAGAAGAGCGGAATATAAAGGTCATTGTTGTCTGTCCTCTTACTGGAGACGAAGAGAGACCTAGAGTAGAATATCTCCCGCTGACGTAGCATAAAGACGGACTGAAATTAGTCAGTTTTGTGACCAATCCAGAACTCCTATACATCGGGCAGATCTAGACAGAAAATCTACTGCTGTTATGTATGTATTTACGCCAGAGTGTGGGTGTGTGTTAAATTATATGTGTGTTTGTTAACTGACTACAATACTTATATAGATAAGAGCAATAGTATACAAATGGTGGCTCTGAACCAGAGAGCCGAGTTCGAATTCCAGTCAAATCGGTTACATCTACCTTAAATGCTAATACTCTTGGGAAAGGTATGAATCATCTTCTTCCCCCCAGATATGGGTAAAGAGCAGGACAGACCAGGTTTAATAGTCTTGGATAACAACTTGTCTACTGCAGAAAGAAATGGCCACCTACCCCGGGAAAAAATCTACCTCGTCAGTCATGTATCAAAAGATATATGATCGCATAAGCGTGTATCACGCATGCTAAATAACTGATTGATTTAAAGACACATAGGTTTTTTCTGTTGTTATTTATGTGCTGGCTTTTTACGCTCTCAGGATACACCAATATTGACGAAAGTATACCTACATATTTTTAGGAAGTATAGGACATGTTAGAGATATCGAATACATGCAGGTAGATAAGAGCAATACATATTGAGTCTAACCTGTTCCCTGAGAAATGCTGTATATCTACCGAAATGTTATGATAACAATTACAATAACAAACAGAATTTAAAAAGAGTGAACATCTCTTGGAATGGTTATGAGAATTTCAAATTATGGGATCCGGAAACTGTTATTTATATATTTTAAATAAGAAATAAGCTAAACCATATTTAAATGAGTGAAAAATAAAATTATATTTACCTAAATGTGGGTCAATGAAAGATAACGCTTTAGAAGGAATGGTCATTTTCTCCAAAAACTGCTGTCCATAGTTGTATGCATTCGGCTGGTGGTAATCTTTTTCCTTAAAGTTTTTGGGGTAGCGAATAAAAAGCGTTCGCGATGGCATCTGTTGAAACCCAATCGCAGGAAGACGCAGACGTTTTATTATTGTTTCAAGGATACAAGCCAGAATCGAGCCTTTGTTCGAAAGCAGAATTTCTATGGCGTATCTAGCGTCTAGTTTCATTTGATAAATATCAGCCTCACTTAATGTTGCAATAAGTGAACTGATATCTTTAATGTTGGTAGCCGGGAACCAAATAACGATTTTATCCCAGGAGATATATTCTTGTAAAGGTAGATAAGTTTCTTTCTTTCTGCTGTTGCCGATGAGCACAGGAATGGCGCCACTGTAGAGGGCATTCAAAAGCAAATGTTGGAAAGTAAGACTCGCCTGAGCGTCCGGTGGAACTTGAATTATGGTGAAAATAGACCCAACAAAAATGCCGTGTTGGTCCTCTTTAGGCTGCGGTTTCCAGTTCGATATGCCGGCCGAACACCGGAAGTATATTTTGCCCACTAATTTCGGTGCATTTTTATTCCATATTTTCATAACTCTGCATAATTTCTCTTTAATGTCTTGATAAACGTCGGCGTCTTTCGAGGGGGTCTCATAACTTTCCATATATGACAGCAGCCATTTTCTTTTCAGGGGAAAAATAGGGGCTAGTAACTCCCATATTCTGTGCGAAAATGTCTCGTTGTATAAAGGCGAGAGAAAATCTAATCCCGGTCGGAAGTTTTGAGACGGGAATATAGACTGAACCAGTAAAGCAAATCCAGTATTGAAAAACTCCATATTGCGATTATGCAAATTTATAATTACATGGTTTTCACCATTTTTACCCCAGTATTTTAATTTTGGGAAATTTCTGATGTTTTTATCAAAGAAGTAAACAAATACACAGGCTTGATAAGGATCATCAGTAAAATATTCTTTTCCATAAAGCAAGTTTTTAAACGGTTTTTCTCCACTTTGGTTGGGATAAATAAACGCTTTAAATTTTGATGCAGGTTTACACTTGCTGTTGAGAAAACAGTTTGCCATGGTGCAGTTTGTCCTCAAAATGTAGTTTTCCTTTTTTGGTGTCAATTGATATAGACCAATGCAACACAAAACAGCGAATACAGTGAACGCAATCAGAAAATTCTGCAGATATTTCGTTTTCATTTTTTAATCAGATGGAAATATTCATTAACGTAGTCCGGAATCTTTAAACTGAACTGTTTTTGATCAGCTATAATAGAAAAAGAAAAATAATGAACTTTTGACGCAGTACATATTGACTTAAAAATAATCTTTACAATAAACTTCAAAGTATAGACAATTGAATTGAATAAAAATCTGGAAATAGAAATTACAAGAATGTTGCCTTTAAACACAACAGTTATTCCAGTAGTTGTAGCAGTACTAGGAGTGATTATGGAGAACACCAATAAACATATTAAAAAAAATTCATCTTTATCTGAAATACAATAGAAGATGTTAATGAGTACTGCTCAAATCTAACAAACTAATCCTAAACACGAAACAAGGGATATTCATCTACACTTCAAAATACTGGAGAGGGGTGTGAATCACATGATAGGCGAACCTATCTACACCTATTGAGGAAAAAATAAATAGTAAAATCTCAGCGTTTAGTCGGAGTCCTTAGAAGTATAGATTAGAAGTAGCATTGGTTGTATGGCATCTTATGATTCAAAACCTTGTCATTTGTCAAAACCTATACAACACAAAGGCAAAACCCAATACTAATAAATGCTAATGATATCCCATCTGATAAAAACTTCTTAACAAAGGAAATTGACTTTTCAGCCTACAAGCTAGAAAAAGAAATTTCAAGAATGTGACCTTTAAACCCAACTATTATTAAACTAATAATAAAAACACTAGTATGGATTTAAAGAATAGCAATATCCACATCAAGAAAATTCAAATAAAATCCATCTGTCTGAAATACAAATGATTGTGTTAGTGAGTATGACTCACATACACTATGCTTAATACATTCATAAGAAAAATCTGTGGCGAATGTGAATAATCACCTACTCCTCAAAAATCACCTACTCCCCTAAAATCACCTGCTCCCCAAAAATCACCTGCTCCCCTAAAATCATCTACTCCCCAAAAATCACCTACTCCTCAAAAATCACCTGCTCCCCTAAAATCACCTACTCCCCCAAAATCACCTGCTCCCCTAAAATCATCTACTCCCCAAAAATCATCTACTCCCCAAAAATCAACTACTTCCCCAAAAAGAGTTGGTGTCCTGTGTACAGTTTGCTGGGAAAAAATCCTAGATAATTATTAACTAACATTTGGAATTTTTTATCCTCCCTGACTATCGCGATCAATCGAATAATTTAGCTTCTCAGTAAAAGCAGGTGCTTTTCGTGACGAGAAGAGTGGATTTTTTTTGGTTCGTGAGCAAGAGTAAGTTCACTGTGTTAGAATCTTTGAGTTGGATTTATTCGACTACTTTATTTTGCCTGTTGGACTTTTGACGTTGGACTTGAAATTTCTGATTTCTAATCTTAACTCGTCTTTCTTGTCTTTTAGATTTCTGAGACGGGATTTGGGACGTTTTCACCACCATTTGTTATTTTGGACGTTTAACAGATTCAAAACTTTAATTCACTTTGTATCTTGCTTTCCTTTACTACTTTCTGTAAGAGTTTTGTAGCTTTCTTTCTGTATCTGCTATCAACAATGTGTCATCTGCATACCTTATTGTTGTTAAGATTGTGGCCAGCAATAATGAATCCTTGTAGGACTTCTATTTCTCTCAGAATCACCTCGCTGTATAGATTGAATAAGTCCGGTGAGAAAACCCACCCTTGTCTTACACTCCTTTCTATTATTGTATATCTCCTGAACTCATTTTCTATCCGTATGCAAGCCGTTTGTTGCCAGTATAGGTTCTTGCACTGTATGTATAAACCAAAATTTTATCAATCACTACACTTAGTTATCTATAGAAATAAAATGAAGTGCTCGTCGTTTTCTTTCTGTTTCTTCACAATAGATTCAGGAGCTTCAGGATTCATTTCAACCAAAGCCATTTCTCATGGGAGTTAAATATTTATTCTCACATAAACATGTAACGGTAAGGGAGGTAAATCAACTTTTGGTAATAAATTAATACATGGTAACTTTCTTTCTCATTTTGCTAATCTATACAAATAAAATGAAGTGTGTCGTGTCTCTTACACTAAACCGGATGTTGGTTGCTCGACGACTCAAAGCAGAATGCGAAAACGCGTCTCTGCGCATCATGGCTCGACGCATGTTTTCGGTATTGAATGATAAAATGAACTTTATATATTGGCCAGTAGAAATAACTCCCGCTAAAATACCCAGACTGTGATTTGGAGCCGATACGACAGATATAAATTTCCTGATTCAACGCCGCAGAGGACTGAGACGGAGAGAGAGACCCGGCTGAGATGTCAACACGCAGAGGCTGGTCAAGAACGCCGCAGGCACACTGAACGCGATAGTTTCCAACTTTCGACTCCGCCGTCTTCACAAAACATTAACCAACAGCCATCAACATTCTTTCTCTTTCTTTCTTCCTCTTCCACCCTGTTGCCTTTTACAACAGCAACGGGTAGTATGATGCCTTTGTATATATGTAAATAAATACTCATTTATTTACTCAAAATACGATGTATTCCTTTGCCCTTTACGCTTGCTGAGACGAAGACGAAATTAACATCTTCAGCAGTAACCACAATAGCGACAAGTTCTGCCTTCCAGGTTACCCATTCTTCGTTTCCGCAACAAGTGTTTGCTTCTTTTTTTTATTTAGGCTTAATTAGTTCCCAGGCAACGCTTGGCACCCTTACTAGTAAAAAAAAACAAATAATACAAATCTCTATACAACAGGGACGACACTGACAGATGGTGTCGTCTATCAGTTGGTCGATGAAGTGAAGCTTCTTGCTAGTCTACCTTTTGATCTGTTCACATAATTTGATCGGATTCCTTCCTCGTTATCAAGAACAATTCAGGAATGAATTCTATTGTCTTTATAATACATACATGTTAAGACAGATAGTGATGAGCACGCAAACGAACCAGACGCTGAAAAGGATTTAATCCGCTGTCCCGTGCTTCGGACACACCTAAAAATATGTATGTGAGTGAGTGAGTGAGTGAGAGAGAGGGAGAGAGGGAGAGAGAGAGACTACTATAAAAAAATACTTATACATACATACACATTAACAAAGACTCTCCTCTCTCTCTAACTGTTGAGTTGTTGGGAGTGTTCCCCGCGTGTGTGTATTCGAATAAAGACAAACACAGTTGTAGGGATAAATACTGGTATATTTGTAAGAGGTAATTAACAACAGAGTGATTAGTAATAAGGAACGCCGGTTAGTAAGTAACAATAGCAAAAGTCTACAGTCCAACGGTATGTAATGGTAACCTGATCTCGACTGCTGTCGCTGAACCTGATCCTTCACCCAACACCACTACTCTCTCTAGCACTGACTTATATCGTAGAGGGATAAGTCCATTATCAGTCAGAAGGTGGGTGCGCCCCAACACACACACACACACACACACACACACACACACACACATCAAACATATATATATATGTTTTACACAAATATATATATATATAAATTTGTGTATTTAGGCAGCAGTCCTTCTTTTATGCACATTTCATTGAATACAACAGACAAGGTGCTAAGAACTGTCCGAATGTTTTATATTTCCGAGCGCTTTCGGCTATACATTTAGCCATTATCAAGGATGATTCGATTATCAGCTTAGTTGAGTGTGTGCGTTCTGTGTATGTATCAGTGTGTGTTAGGGATGTTTTTAATCTCCGAATACGGTTAGCACATTGTGTCTTTGTTCATAATTAATATTGTTAAGAGTTGGCTTTTTCTTTTTTATTATTAGAGCTTCCATTATTTTTAGTCTTTTTTTGCAAGTGGATGCAGTTAATATATTTGTGTTTTCTACTAGTATGTTCGCAATGATGTCGGGTAAATCTGGATGTGTGTTTAAATGTGTTCTGATGGAGCTGTGATCAGATAGGTGTAACGTAAGACGTCTGGATAAACATGTGGTTGTGTAGCCGATGTAATTATTTATGAGTCCGGTTTGATCAGGAACGCAGTTCCTTAAAGGGCATTTGAACTCATAGATAATGTTCGTTCTTTGTAATTAGGAAGCCAACTTTCCTTGCTGCGGACGAAGTTATTGACTCAATGTATTTGTAAGAGTTGCGGTATCTTTATTTCTAACGAAATTTTCCTGTTTCTTAATGTTGTTGGAAGGCGTTTTTCGCTGTTACAGTTCGCCTTCGGATTTCGATCTCACATTTTTCAGACAGTTAAATTTATATACTTGCTTGATGTTAATGTCTTACGATAGTTTTAAAAATCGTCATTATATGTGTTAGGCATTCAAATTTTTAAAATTATGTTGACGCGTTATAATCATTTGAAACACCATTAACTAAATAACATTTAAATGGGGATTCCACGCATTTTGACAAGGTCAGGTATGTCATTAAAATACCTCACACTTGTAACGTGGTTTTGTCTTTGATAAAATCCGATGTCTTGTCTCTCAGCTCTTATACTGTTACACATAAAAAGAAGAAAAAAAAATGGGATGCCGGCCTCGAGATGTTCTGTATGTGCGTGCATATCCACGCAGCGTTTGTATAATGCGCATGGATTTTCCTGTGATCTACATAAAATTGTTATGTTTGAAAAATTAAAGTAGATCATCGCGATTACAATAGCGTACAATGAGCTGGGTGTTTGAAAGTTCTGCATACGTTCAATCAGTGGGTGACATGAATCGAACAGGACATCCGCTTAGGTGGGCTATAAATTTCAACAATATCAGAAAACAAAGATGCAAGCGTTGCACTTACATATATTGAGAACACACACACACACACACACACACACACACACACACACACATATATATATATATAAATATATATACGTGTGTGTAAATCAGGCAAGGGAAAGACATACTTCATGGATACAGTGGATCTTTTGGCGTGGTCAATGAATCTCATTGATTTTTCTCTGCCTCTACAAGAGGTAAGTAGTACTCAATATCTTCTTGCCACCAAAGTCAAAAGTTCTGCAACATTTATCTGACACAAGATGGGAGACTCTTTACAGAGCTATGACAGCCATCAGTGAAAGTTATGCATACATTGTTGAAGCACAGTCACATCCATGATGATGA